ACAGCTGGCTCTGCCTCTAGATAGGCAGAGCCCGCTGCCAATCAGCCAGCGGGGTGGATCTCGACAGTATTGCCGGGATGCGTTCTGGCTGCAACGCTCTCAGCATTTAGCGGGCAATAGCTTGCTATATACTGAGCTTTGTGTCAGAGGAGGACCTTAGTATATGTCCTCCCGTGACCCTAAAGAGGACTATGGGATAATAAGGTTACCCAATAGTTCTCTTTCAATGGAGTACAAGTACAATGACATCACCACACTTGTAGGTCGTTCATACTTCTTCCCTTCCCTTCGCTGAAAGTCCATACCTCAGTACGGACAGGGGCTGGGAGGAAGAGTCTTCATGAGCCAGAGGATCACACCTATGATCCACTGATGCTTTGCAGACATAAATGCAAAAAATAATACATGCACATTTTTTTCTTTTATTAATGTGTGTGCATTTATTATTTATTTTTGCAAAAACTAATGCAGTCACAGTGTGTGCTGGATAGCATTAGCTGCTCATGGTTACTTTTACTTTCTGCATAAGAAGACTCTTTCAAATATTTCTTTAAACACACATGATCAGAGATGTTAGGTGCAGAAACTATATCCTCGAGATGACCCTTTTCTCTACAAATAATGCAGAAAATATTTTTGTGAAATGACCCAGTACAGTGTCTTTATATGAAAGTGATGTATTACTGTCAAAAACTACAGGTAGAAAAGAGCTTTAATGTATGGTACAATGATTCATGTTTCATGATGATTCAAGCTTATATTTAGTCAGGGTTAGCAATGAAACCTGCAAGAGAACTTGTATGTTGGTGGCCTGAAGCCTGTAGAGCAGATATTACAATGAGGAAACTGGATCAGTGTAAAACTGTAAAGTGATTTATTGCTGGCATACTTCTTTGTATGCTGGCAGTAATCCATGGTTATGGGTGTAGGTATCCTGTAAGAAAAAAACTGCTCAGGGTTTATGAAGAGCACGTGATCATTTTTAAATGTTTTATTCTCCAATGATAATTTTAAAAATCCAGTTTAGCCCATTATATATTTGAATTGCACGTAAAGTTATTTTTAAACTGTGCTATATGCAATTACCTGTACTCACTAGTTACTTCGCTCTCCTAATGTGCATCAGCATGCATACCAATGGGCATTCTCATGCATTAACTTAACATAGATGTATGGGCCTTCAGAGTATGAAACTCTTGATCCCTGGATGGTATATAAAGGGGCAATGCTCAAATATCTAGTAGTTTAACATCAGGGATACAGTAATAATAATGATAATATTAGAAATATAATGGTTGTACAGTGTATGGCCACCTTTACAAGTGTCTGCCTCACAGGATACACAAGGTCAGTTAGCTGTTTACTAGCAGAATATCGATTATTTTAGTAGCAATTTATATATACTGTATATAGGGGCTACAGTGCAAAAGTCTAATTTCTTTTTTCACATACTGCTAAAATATTAAAGAAGCACTCCAAGCATTTAAAAAACTTTCTCTTGCAGTGGGGCTACCCCTGCACTGCAAGCCCCTGCAAAATAACATTTTTAAAATTCCCAAATTTATAGGATTTTGAGATTTTTCACTGAAAATGTTAGCCATTTGAAGTTTGTGCATATTCTTGTGTGCTGGAGGTCTGGTGCTAGAGCCATAGCAGCAGGAGGAAGGGGAGGACGTTCTACTGTCTCAGGGCCAGAAGGAACAATGGCGTATTGCCTCTATCCCTGTTGGACAAAGGCAGCATGAGGCCAAGGATAAATATAAAGAGGAGGAGGGATGAGGCAATGGTAGAGAAGAGGAGGATGAAATGGGGCCTAATCTCTGGGTTTTAAACTCAGGCTGGTAGAGATTATTGAGGACAGTGTTGTCCTTAGCAACACGGAGGACATGGGGTCCTCTGCTTCAGATGATAAAGTAAGTCCCACTTTTTGTGTCAGTGTAAATAAAATAACCCTTTATTGTTAGTGCCAGTGGGAGTAGAGTAAGCTCCATATCGTTGATGTCAGTGGGAGAAAACAAGCTTCCTGTCATTGGTGTCAGTGGAAGTAAAATAAGCCCCATATCATTGGTGTCAGTGACAACAGCTAAATCACTTTCTTATTTTAGTAAACGTCACTGGGTTCTGCTGAAGCGCTTGTTCGTGTACCTCCGAACACCGCACACCGGTTGAAGTCTCTTGTCAAACAGCACACACACAGAGTCTGTGAGCCCCCTCTACATCAGCGGTAGCTACACAGCTCTATCTCTCACATTACAATCCTGCAGACTGGATCACACAGATCTTTCCTTTTGGCTAGGATCTCCTGGGCTAATTGCACTCAGCAGCCACACCCCAGTGTCCCCCTCCCCTCTGAAACACAGCTTCCTGGGAGTTGCAGTCTGAAAAATCCAGCATAGCATTACCAGCCTCCTGCTCTGCACTGCAACTCTTAAGGTGGCCATACACTCTACAACCATCGCAAGACTTATGGGATAAAATAAGCCCTATGCGGTTGATGTCAGTGGGAATAAAATTAGCCTCATATGGTTGGTGTCAGTGGGAACAGAAATAGTTGTTCCTTGAGACCGAGCTGATGAGTGAGCTTTTATTGCACCTCTCGTCCAAACCACAGGAAGTGGGGACAGGGAGTGTAAGGACTCAGAGTGGCACAAGTGGCTAATGGAGCAGGTAGATTCTGTGCATAGTTCAGATGGGAAGACCCAGTGACTGGAGACTGGTGACAGTCGAGCAGCAGAAAGGCCAAAATAAGAATCAGAGTTGAGATCACAAGCCAAGGTCAAAACAGCCGGGCAGCGAGGTACCAGATCAAAAGCCAGGTGCAGGGTCAGTGTCATAAGCCGAGGTTGGTAACAGTAGATCAGCGCGTTACAAGGCAGAGGGTAGAAGGCGGAATCCAGTAAGCAGGCTGAGGTCACAATAGGCTGGCAGAGGTCCAAGGAGAGGTTTAGGAGGAAAGCTGGGTCAAACACAGTTAAGTGGAATCAGGTCGGGTCACAGGTAAGCAGGGAACTGGCTGAGACCACTCAGCAAATTGTGCACATTGCATGCCCATTCATATAGGACTACCATTATTGCATGTCCTTTGCTAATTCCTGTGTGCTTCCACACTAATTCGTGCACGTGTCTGTACGTGTATTCCTGTGCGCATTCCTGCATGCACGCCTGAACGCTAGTGCATGTGTGCATGCTGGCCCTCCAGAATGTGCAGGACTTTTCTTACATTAGTTCTATTATTATACTACTTACCTGATCACATGCTTCCATGTCTCTATATTTGGAATGGGAGCTATCCTGTCATTGTTGGGTAGGAGATCACTCTGCCTGACAAGTACCAGCATAATCAGCACTTGACACTCCAGTTATACAGCCCTGCTCTAAATTGTAATACAAATAAAAAGTTCAACAGGGAGTATATGATTCACTCATGATGACTATAGGAGGTCTGAAGACCTAGAAATATGCAAGCACAGTGATCCCACCAATAGAGTTGCCAAGTGATATAAGAAATTATTAGGGGAGTTAACGCTCCCCTAATAATTCATGGAATTATCAGTTTTGGGTGGACTGGCCCTTTAAGGAATGATTGCAACACTGAATAAAATCACTTACATACACAAGGGGCACATCTTGCCATTGCTGGAATACTCTAGTTATTAGGACATCTACTCCTGTGGTTTTGTAAGCTAGAGAATCCCAAATCTATCACAGTCTCTTTTCTGGCTAATTATGCACACCTAATTTTGTCAATTAAGCCAAAGCTACAGTCTATAAAGGAATGAACACTGGTTTAGTGTTTTTTTGTCTTAAGACTTGTAAAAATAGTTTTCATTTTTTTAAGTCCTGTTAAAATTAAATATGGAACAAAACATTATATAGTCATCATTCTAGCAAGTAGGAAGAGCTTTAGGATTTTCTTTCCCTCTATGCTTTAAAAGCCTGATGTTTACAGACCTCAGTAGCTCAAGCCAAAATTTACACACACAAAGTAAATGACTTATCACAGAAACCAACCTCTCTTTGGTGGATCTGTTTGAGTTTTTATTTAGGCAAGCTGTGCCCTCATGGTCATTTTTAAAACAAACATATGTTTTTAAATGTATAAAAAATGATATTAAATTGACTCAAAACCATTATAAATTTGTCACCTACTGAAAAAATTAAACAAGCGGTACCTATAAAAGAAAATTAGTAATACTTACCTGTCATCCATACCTTGACTCTTCACATTCTTGAAGAGCTGTGGTATTCAAATAATCTTCTGTATCTGATTCCTGGTGCCCTGCTGTGTGCTGTGGTTCCATCCAGCAGCCGCAATGCCACTACAGAACACAGTAGTGACATAGGGGCTGGCAGACCAAAGCATGTAAGGGGCAGGCTTCCTACACACCCAGTAATGTGTCAAATGCAGAAGATTCCTTGGACGAGACATAGCTCTTGAAATAAGCAAAGATTCAAGACATGGGCAATAGGTTAGAATGCATAATTTGCTTTTACAGGGGCCCCTTTTTTTTTTAGTAAACATTGCATACAAAGAGATTTAAAGGAGAGCAGTTAAAAGAAAGCCTGATCGGGGTGGCTGCAAGGAAAATTAGAAATTCACATAGAACTCAAGTTGTCCTGGACTTTCTGACATTAACATATTTGCAGAGTTTCCTGGATTAAATTAGCAGTTCACTGATTTTGCTTCTTAACTGTGTCAGCAGCACCGTTTTCCTATAGGTGATGTTAGATGAACATTTTACCATTCTGCTGTCTTTTCAATTGGAAAATGACGTGATTTTTCCATGCTGAGCTGATAAAGACCAGTTTACCATAAAAAAATTGCTTTCTCTGACATAAATTACTTAAAAAAAAGCTTTTTTTTTTTCTGAGATTGCATTCCCTATTTCTGTAAAATGAAACTCTTTGGGTGTGTACTGAATCCAAAGTTATTGTCTCTTAAAAGAACTTCATTTATGTTTATTACAGATACCAGTTTGATAAAAGTAGAAGCATGAAACTTACTGCCACACCGAGATACGTTAAACTCAGAAATTTGCTGTGGAATTTCCACTCTGACACGTGAACTTGAAAAAAAATAAAAAAATAGATTGTTTTTAAATTCAGAAATATATTGTACATATTATCATAAGTTATGCTAGATCTCTAAAATATATGATAAAGCAAATAAAGTATGTATATCATGGTAGTGACATAAGGACATCTATGCATGTACTGGTTTGATGCTAGTGTAGTATTCAGCAAACAGCGTACAATACATTTGAACTGTAACAAAGCAAACAGACCTTAAATCAATTATGTTGATTAGTTATCATGGTGCCCATGCACATGTCAAAGTGAATGTGACAGAAATCTGACCAATTCTATATTCTGACTGCTTCTATTAAAAAATTATCCACAGGTAGGCATTTTTTTACCTTAATTATTACAGAAAATGTTTTACTATATATTGGCCCAAAAACAGAACACGTAGACGTACCTTACAAGCAGACTGTTTTCCAGCGGAGACAGTTGGGTAGCCAATGTCTTCCAGTTCTTGAATTCTGTTAATGAATCACAACTGAAATTCTGGGGTCTGACAGAGTAGAAGTATTCCTCATCTCTCTCATCTATATATGTACACAGTTTTTCTTCTTTACTGAGATTAAAGCCACAGTTGGTTTCTACTTGTTTGCCTGGACTAGTGAATTTGCACAAGTAGCCAACATTCCCATACCAGCTATTTCGTGACTTCCAGAGTGACGAAACGGCTTCACTTGGGTGCATGAGAAACACTCTTACCACTACTTCACCTTCCCAAAATAAGGTGAAATAAACGTGGTATGTCCCATTCTTAAAGTCTTCAATCCTTCCAGAAGCTCCTGCTTGTAAATCAGGATTGGAAATTATTGCTCTTAGATAGTCTCCTCCATAGGTTTTCTTTTTGCCTAAATGGTCATACGCATTAACTTGTACTATTAATTTGTCTCCAACACAATAGTTTTTTTGGGGACTTTTTATGAACATTTTGCTCTTGATGGCACTTGTTGTGTTGTCAATATGGACAAAAGTCACCTTAGGCATCATTGCATCTATATGACTGAATATCTTATTAATCTGCTTCTGAATTTCTGATGCTTTTTCTATCTTGTTGTCTATAGCTGTATGGTTCTCTATAGTAATACACTGTAAGAAACAAAAGCATCAAATTATTACATACATTAGAGAGTTAATACAATATATACAAGTTACAGAATTGTAGCCAAATTGTGTATGTAAAAGAAGATTAAAACATTCATGATTAAGAGATTATTGAAACAGATGATATTTTATAAATAGAGAGCTCTGAGTGTATCTGGGGTCACTGGACACTGAGGGTTGCAATGATCAGGATGCTTTTTTCCCTACATGTTCAGTTTGAATTACGTACGCTTGTAGTCAGTATATTATATGGACTTATCCCTTGAATTTTAATGCTGCTTTTTTGTGATTTGGTTTCTGACAGCACTACAAAATGTGTGTTAACTTTCTGCCAAAATAAGCATAGAACATAATTAGGAAGTCTGTTACCTTTATTTAACTAGGCATAGTGGAGAGGGACTAAGGATATACACTAAAATGCAGTTCCTCCACTGTTGTCCTTCATATCTCATTTACATACCACCAGCATAAAGCTGGCTATACATTAAGAGAATTTTGGCCAGTTCTTCTGGAACACTGCCGGAACCATTTTGTCCGGCATCCCTCGATTAGCTGATTAAAGGAGCCAGTCGGAAAATCTCTGTACGAACAGAGTGGACAGCCAATGAGCTGCTGGCTCTGTTCGGGTATTCTGACAGTGATCGGCAGCCACCGTCAGAATAAAAAAGAAACAGCAGGGATTTCTTGATTTCTTGCACTTATAGCATTTGTGGAGGAATCTGTTATTATTTGTTTTAATTGTAAGCATTAACTTGACTTACCCAGAAATCAAGTTGTAGACTTCATTCCATTCTGTCACACATATTATAGGCAGCTGAAAGTTATCACCCTTAGCTTTAAAGGGCTGAGAACTGCATTCCATTTTTTCAGAAAGCTGAAACTTTTGCACTGTCCAATTAAAAGCACTTATCTTTGTGATAGAGTGCAATAGGAGGAGACAGGCTGGAGGGGGCGCTGTCGGAGTCAGCCGGCTTGGAGAATCGGGTGAGTATATCTATGACCCTTGGCAAAAACAAGGCCTTAATCCTTGCAGTTAGGCGGTAGCCCCACTGCAAAGATTATTAATATGTTAGTTCTTTAAACAAAACATGTTTTGCACAGTTTCCTGTATTGTCAAAATGTTCACTGCTATGTTATATTTCCTGTGTTCAATTAAAGTGAATCTGAACCCTGTCTTGAAGACATTTTGTTTGCTAAAGCACTGTGTATCATTAACAATTGCATTGATTTTTTTTTTTCATGTGTTTTCATCTTTTGTTGCATCTCAGTGTGATTTTTTTTTCTCTAGCCACTTCCTGTCTACAGCCACTTGCTCCTCTACCAACTGAACATGGTTGTTCTGGACAGACTTCTCCATGGTCCCCTTGCCAACAGGGGACCATTCCTGCGACTATCAGCAAGGCCATTTACAGTCACTACCAGTTATACTAATTATTTACACTATTAACACTTTTTCTTTTAAGAATATTTATGAAACACAGAATATCACTTTTTTTTGTTTTTTTTTCACTGGGGATAATTTACACAGAGTTGTAAAATATATACATGCACAGATAATAAGGATTAGTTGAACATGTTCATAGGGGAAGCCATGAACGTAGTGGTTTCCCCCTGTTCTTCTGTTTGTTTGTTTTTTGGACATTAATTAGTTATGATATTAATTATTTACACTATTTACACCTTTTTCTTAAAAGAATATTTATGAGATCAAATATATCACTTAAGGTGTTTTTTTTTGGGACACTAATTAGTTTTGATACTAATTCACTACCAAGAACAATGTAGGAGCATCATTGGGAGATACAGTTTCATGCACTCATGCAATCAGATATGCTGCATTTTTTTGCAGTGCACTGGATGACATATCAGGTCACTGCACCACAGAGCAGCACACCAGTCTGCTGTGTAAATACCCGAATGCAGTGTAGTTTTTGTACAGTCCAAATACAGTAAAAAAAAAAGTAAGCAGCGTTTCAATTTCAATTCATTTTTGTTCTGCATTTACAGCAGAACAAAAATAGATATCCTACCCTGCCAGACAGGGCTGTACTGTGTGATAGAGCTGTATAAACCTCAGAACTGGATGGGCAGAAACACAAACACTTTTGGCAGGTAAAACAGTTGCCACGTACCTATTTCACCTGTGTATTTAGCCGTTTGCCAGGTGTGCAGTTTAACATTTTTTTATACAATTCAACATGCATTTTTCTAAACAGAAAAAAAATGGTTACTATTCAATTTTATCCCAGCAGTCTTCTGCTCCCCCATAGAGATCAGAGTGCTCTCCAGAGAGTTCTGCAGCTGCAAACACTATGCTTTAGGAAAATATGGGCATACAGTAGTGTATACAGCAGAAAGTGGGTAGAGAGAAATTTGCTTGTTAAAACTATATTAAAAATTATATACATGCATTTCTATATTACATAAAAATAAATAAATAAATAACACTTACTATGCGCTTGGTTTAGATGTTCTGTAGAGTGAGGAATCAATGTCTGTAGAATTACGAAAACACAGCAGTGGTTAACCTGTCACAATTTCCACAAAGGGTGTATCAAAGTCCGCTCAAGCCATCATTTATATGAAACAAAGTACAAAAAAACTAGGACAATAATAGAGAATGTGTTGTAAGTATTACTGGAGTGTTTTAAATTCAATGGAGCTGTTCTACTTGTTACACTGGTTACAGGAAAAAAAATATGACTTATAAAACTACAGTCACATGCACATTTTCCTAAGCATAATATTATGTGTACTGGAGTATTTCCAATAAAGGTCTTATGGTCTTTTCAGTTTAAATTTATACATGAGATATTATTATTATTATTATTCCATAGTATTTACATAGCGCCAACAGTTTGCGCAGTGCTTTACAATATAAGGAAGACATTACAGTTACAATACAATTCAAGACAAGATGGTAAGGAGGGCCCTGCCCCTGAGGGCTTACAATCTAAAAGAGGAGGGGGAAATGATACATGAGGTAGCTGTGGTAGCTGTGGGAATGAATTATGTGAGAATGTGAAGGTTCAGTGGTTAGGTTGCGGTGGGATAGGCTTCCCTGAAGAGATGAGTCTTTAGGGAACGCCTAAAGGCAGTCAAGGTGGGAGATAGACGGACAGGTTGGGGTAAGGAGTTCCAGAGGATGGGAGAGACTCTAGAGAAGTCCTGGAGGCGAGTATGGGAGGAGTGGACAAGGGAGCTGGAAAGCAGGAGGTCAATGGATGAGCGGAGGGGACGTTTAGGGTGATACTTTGAGACAAGGTCTGAGATATATCCGGGGGCAGAGTTGTGGATGGCTTTATAGGTGACTGTTAATGTTTTGAATTTTATCCTCTGGGCGAGTGGAAGCCAGTGGAGGGATTGTCAGAGGGGGGATGCAGACACTGAGCGGTTGGTAAGGTGAATGAGTCTGGCAGCTGCATTCATGATAGACTGAAGGGGGATATCCTGTGTAGTGGAAGGCCAATGAGGAGGGAGTTACAATAGTCATGTTTGAGATATAATGAGATGCCACACTTTTACAGTTTGTGAATGGCATTAAAAGAAAGAATAAGTTAGGAAATTGTACCCATTGGAACAAAAATCAAATTTGCACTTGGAAAAAAAAAAGCTTTTTTTATGTGTCAATAAAATTGCACTTTTTTTCCACCGCCACAGAAAAAAAAATTGGTGTACATTTGTTAGCATTTACGGATCACACCATGCACATTGAGGAGCATATTTAAAAGGCCACGAATGTGATGTCTCCCAAACATTCACTGCAAGTGAATCAGATGGTATATTATGAATATTGGCTGTAAGTATATGTCTCACAGTATTTTATTTAACATACCAATTCAAACATGAGCAGCAGTCTATATACGGTATTTATGTTACACATGCATATATTACGGGGTGCTGTTGGGTCAGGTATACATCTGACAGCTTCTGACATTGGAGGAATTAACCTATTAATGCTGACACACAGAAAGGGATGATATGGAGAACAAAATTTACCCTCCACTGCCCTGAACACCAAGCACAATACTAATGACAGCCACAATAATTAGTTTTTATATAAAAAAAACATTAGACTTGTGCACAGCATAAAAATTTGTATTAGACGAAACTAATGAAAAGGGGAAACCTTTTCATTTGTTTCATTTGATGGAATTAATAATTATGCTGTTTCGGATTCGGAGGCAACAAACCACCGAATCCGAAAGTGCACAATTGAAACAAAAAAGTGCGGAGACCATATTGGCCTCTGGCACGTTCTGCACATTCACACCGCCATCTTGGAGGCAGGGAGCATGATGTGACCCAACGCTGGTGTCGAGTGATTTCATACGCTACTGACCTAAGATGTAGTCCCTGAAATGACAGTGCACATGTAAAAAAAGAGAATGTGGGGTTCTTCCTAACATTCCAATCCGACCCATATCCAGGCATGCAGCCTGGGTCCAAGAAAGGGAGGTTAGCAAGCGTATGGTCCCCCTTCCTCTACAATACAAGGCCAGGTGACTTTCATCATTGAGAAGGGCCCCTTCACCACATTTAGTCCCCCATAATGGATGTAGGGTTTGGGGGGTTTATAGTGGAGCCTGGAAGCCCCTAATAAAAAGACGATCCCCAGATATCCACCTATTTCCAGGGGACTGAGTAAAAAGATTGTCATCTGATCATCAATCACATCATCCAGAAATGTAAATGCATCGCCAACCACAACTACCCTCCATCTGACCATGTTTCTTCACCTTGCTCTTGCCACTAAATGACAGATCTGCATTGCTGCTGTAATGTAAACACAATGCTGGTGATGCTGGATGACATGATTGGCCATATATGGTCATGACCCAGTACGGCCACTAATGTCACCCAGGATCCTTAGCACTGTTTTTACATTACTGAATTTCAAGTGATCTGTCATTTAGTGGTGGGAGTGCAATGGTAACAGCGGAGGAGGAGACTCATCATGATTAATAAAGGATTTACATCAGAGG